ACTTCTTCAAGGTATCCGAATACTTTTCTTCCTAGAAAAGTATCCCCATACTCCAGCAAGGAGTATTCGACTACCAATGGATAAGTATTCGCATACTACACGAAAAGTATTCGAATACTTATCAGACAGAATGCAGAAACTCGAGCATTCTTCTGCATAAGTCCACATTTAAGAGTCCCAACTCGATTTGTAGTCCAATGTCTCCATTAACAGATGTTTATTAGCATAGTATGAACACAGAAACACAGTCCTTAACTCAAATGATCCAATTTTTACTTTTTAAAGGATTAAACAAGCTCAAATCTTCAAAATACCAAAGAGGTGTTCATGGTATACCTCAAGGCTTCAAAACTCCGAAAATGACACTGACTTGGAGTCCTCTACACAACACAATGGTTCTGACTTTAGAGAACCACAAAAATATTGATCAAGCAAGGTTCTTTCTTCACAAAGTTAGCTTCTTGGGACCCAAAATGGTATGAACAAGGCTCTCACCACCTCAAACTCAAGAGGACAGCCCCCCAATACCACCAAAGAGAGGATACCACTCAGCCAAGGAGCAACTCACACCCTCACAAGACACACTCCCACAAGGCTATGCTGTTTAGGTGAAGAGAAAAGGAAGAAAAGTGATCGCTTGGTTGGATTTCTAGGCAAGTTCCGAGCCTCTATAAAGAGAGGAAATGGCTGAAGCAATCAGCACACAAGGCCTTCACGTAGCAGCCAAAATTATGGCCTAGGGTTTTGTGCCCTTAGGCTTAAATAGGTCCCTCTAATTAATCACACAGTATTAACCCTAACAGCTACGCTTAACATTTTAATCTCAAACTTAGGATTCTAAACCTACTCATTTTTCAAAGATTTGTCATATTTTTATTTTATTTTTCGCAGCACCTTTCTGGTACGCGCTTTTACATAACCAATATCAGTTCTAGCACAAGTTCTCATTATTTTGACCTAAAACTTGTTATGCTAGTCTTACATGTTATTCTAGGAATATTCCCACACTTATTATAATTTTCCGGGGTACTTCATGGGTACGCACTTATACCGTGGAGCAGAACTGGTATCTGCACTTTTCGTCAGAAAAGCGACTTTCAGCGTTATTAATTACTTACCATAATTATTTAAGCCTTCTCATAATTATTAGGGTCAATTATGGAATTATTTTCTAATTCTCATATTTATTTAATTAATCTCCTAAATTAATGGTGCGGGTCCTTACAACATTCATATAGTTTACTTTTACCTCTGTGTTCTCTTGCTTTTACAATATTAATTAGTGCCATGGGACAGCATGGGTTCAAGCTGGAGCAACACTTGGTAAGGTTTACTATAACATTGCAAAGAAAAGCAAATTCCATGGTTTCCCAGCTGGGGTATGCTCCACTTTGGGATCTGGGGGTCGCTTTTCTGGTGGTGGCTATGGGAATCTAATGAGAAAATACGGTCTTTCGGTGGATAATATCTTTGATGCACAATTAGTTGATGTCAATGGTAAAATCCTTGATAGAAAGTCAATGGGAGAAGATCTGTTTTGGGCTATAAGAGGAGGTGGTGGGGCCAGTTTTGGTGTCATTCTTTCATGGAAGATCAAATTGGTTTCAGTAACTACAATAGTGACTGTATTCAAAGTGAATAAAACAGTGAAAGACGTGCTACAGATGTTATTTACAAATGGCAACTAATTGCAACAAAACTACCTGAAGATCTTTACATATGAGTTATGCCTGAAGTAGTCAATGGTATTCAAAGTGGTAAGAAGACCGTACAAGTCACTTTTATTGGCCTATTTTTGGGACAAAGTGATAAACTTCTGCCTTTGTTAAATGAGAGTTTCCCTGAACTGGGTTTCTTGCAAAGTGATTGCATTGAAATGCCATGGGTCAATTCCACTCTTTATTGGTACAATTTCCCAATTGGAACCCCCATTGAAGCTTTGCTTGATGTCCCCAAAGAACCCACTTCGTACAACTTCAAAACCATGTTAGACTATGTGAAAAAGCCCATTCCAAAGACTGCTTTAGCATCCATATGGGACTTTATGATTAGAAAGAGTGTACGAATGTAATGGAATCCTTACGGAGGAAAGATGCATGAGATTTCTCCATTAGAAACTCGATTCCCTCACAGAGCTGGGAACTTGTTCTTGATTGAGTACTTGACTTCTTGGGGGAAGATGAAAGTGAGAGAATGTAAATTATATGAATGCCGTTGGGTGGGGTGGGGAGTTGGGCGGAACTTTTAATAAAAAAAAAATGAGAATTAGTGCCGATGGGGGCTATGTGCGACCCTTATTTAAGTAAAAATATTATTTATTGAATGCTGATAGGGTGGGGGCGGCATTGGGTTAGCACAGAAAAAAACAAACTACATGAGTGCCGTGGGGACCTGAGGGCGTCATTTAGATACGCTGAGTCCCCACCGCGACACTTAAAGACCCCAAACCGTAATTACTCCCATCTAGATACCAAATTCATAAATTTAATGAAAAAAAATGGCAAACTGCCCGAGATTCTGATTCGTTCTTTTCTCTCTCTTTTTGCTTCGGTGTGTTTTCACATTCACACCCATCCAAGTCATGTGAAGACACAACTTGACTCCACTCTCTCTCTCTCTAGAATTTAATTTTAGGTTTCCGTACAACTGCCACCCAACTCATGACGTCACTCTGCCGGCGGTTACCCGCCGGCGGTGCCATATCGGGGTATCAAGTCCGGTTCCGGCAACAGGCGAGGGCCGCCGCGAATTGCGCGGTCTGCTACGGTTATTCGCCTCAGCGGCCGGGAATCGTGCGGGGACTACGCTCACCGGCGCTGGTAGTGAAGGCGGCGGGGCACAGCGGCGCTTGGGAGAGATCCGGCGTTGCGGAAGAGGGTGAGAAGTTGGGGCCCTGCTCTTACTCTGTCGGGGAATTTGCGGCGGCGAATGGCCGGAAAAGCAAAAATCGGGCGGCGGAGGTTGCGGTCGCCGCCGCTGCGACGGTGGTGATGGGCGTCGGGAACAGGGTGCTGTATAAGCTTGCCTTGGTTCCTCTGAAGCAGTACCCTTTCTTCTTGGCTCAGCTTGCTACTTTCGGGTACATGTTTTGTTCTTGTTGCCTAGATTAATCCGTTACTTTTTTTTTTTTTTTAAATTATGTGGTTGAATATTTATGATGAGATGTTAGAACGTTTATTTTCCATTAATGTAGCTTTTAATTGTGAAACAACTCGTTGTTCAACCTTCTTTACTAGTAAGAAAAGAGAAGTTTATCTGGAGAACGCATATATTTAGTCTTATTGTTTGGGTGGGGGGTTTTGGTTCATGCATTTTCGGCAATTATGAATATGATGGGTCCTACTTCTGATGATGTTTATGGCTCACCACTTCTTTCTTTTCTACTTTTGGTCAATCTTAATCTGTTGGAGTAACTCTTTAGTTTTTAGTGCTGAATGGTTGCTACAAAAAGAAGCACTTAATAAAAAATTGATCTTTTGATTCTAAAAACTTAGCGGGTTTGATGGATGAATAGACTGACTTGAAATTGGGAATAAGTCTGTTATTTGATAAAGTTTAACACTCTGTGGAAAACATTCTTCCTTTTCCTCTTAAAGGGATATAGAAGTGTGTTTGTGAAGTGACCAATATGAATTGTGACCAATATGAGTTTCCGTCAAAAACTCAAGACTTTTTGAGACTTAAGGTTTTACTTTAGGAAAGTAGCCACGATTTTGAAAAATAAAATAAAATGTGAACTCAATGCCTTTGATGCCTGTTATAAGATGATATTTATATTTGTGGTTATGCTATTTATTTTTCCCTTTTATACGTTTTGGCAATAACCTTAAACCAAACAGTCCTTTATGTTTGGGAAGAAGTAACTTGTATTTTTTTTACCCTGACAAATAGCATAAAATGCAGTCTTTCTGCAAGAGCTCCCTCCTCCCCCTTTTTGGGTTGTTATGTTTACAAGAATTAATATAACTAACTCTAATGATATTTTCTTATTTTTCAGATATGTAATTGTATACTTCTCTATTTTGTATGTGCGTTACCATGCGGGCATTGTCACTGATGAGATGTTATCTGTGCCAAAAACTCCATTCCTAGTTGTTGGTCTCTTGGAAGCTCTGGGTGCTGCCACAGGAATGGCAGCGGGAGGTAATTTTTGTCCTAATTTATTTTATCTGTTTAATGTTTTTTACTTCTGGCTTCTACACAAATAAAATGCTCCTGTACTATGTTTTCCGGTTGATTTTATTCAATCTTCCTTTTGCCAATTCAATCAATTTTTTTTTTGTAAACTACATCTATGTTGCACCGACACTGACATGACACTTCAACATGTTAATTCTAAAAAATGTTAGATTTCGACACATTAGGACACGTTTTAATATTAAATAATATTTTTAATTTATGTAGTGTATATTATATTTTGTATTCAATAATTTAACAAAAAAATGAAACTAAACCTATAATATCCATCTATTTTGCAAAGGAACGTAACACATAAATATTTACTATTATATTTTCAAATTGAAAATCTCTTATACACTCTAGTGAGATTTATTCAGTATCCATTTTTAATTTTTATTAGAGTAAACACCCTTTTTAGTCCCTGTCAATATCTACGAAGTCTTTACCAAATTGGTCCCTTAAATTACAAAAAAAGGGCCATGTTAGTCCTTATGTCAACTCCCAAATATGTAGAGTGGCCCTTTTCTTGTACTTTCAGGGACCAATTTGGTCATTTTTTATTGCCAGGGACTGAAAAGGACTTCGTAGATATTGCCAGGGACTAAAAAGGGTGTTTACGCTTTTTATTATATCAGTTTGGTAAAACGTCGATCAATTTCTTTATGATATGTAATGAAATTTCAAATATTATAGATGTCAGAGTGTCGGGGTGTCGAACACGAAACTTTAGGTTTTTTGAAGTGTCGGTGCAACATAGAACTACATAATATTAAGGCAAAAAAAAAGAAACTGCTGGCATTATGATTTTTCACAGTAATGACAATGTATAGCATAGTACCAAGCATTTTTTTAAGGGTTTTGGTGTTACCTGATTCATCTTTTTTGGATGAATTAAGCATATTTGAAGATTGTTACTATTAGTTGGGGTTAGATTTTGAAGGTTCATACTATCATATTTATCGAGTCATATTGTTTTTCTTATTTGCAAAAATGCAAGGATAGGGCTGCCTACAATCAATCTTATCCCCTGCTCTCGCAAAGTCGGGGTTAGGGAGCTTTATGCAACGGGGTTTGCTCTTTTATGCACTTATATTGTCTTCACCTTAACTCTAATTTATGATGGATCTTTGACTCCTTCCTCATTCATATCTCATAGATATTAGTATTGTTATTGATGATTAGTTACCAATATCATTGGGTGGTGCAATTTTGGTTTGTTTATAAAAATGGTCATGTCTGAATTTCATTTAATTGTTTGTTTCCTTCTTTGTTGTATCAGCAATGCTATCTGGAGCATCAATTCCAATTTTGTCTCAGGTAAAAACCATCAGCTGTCAATTGTTGTCTGGCATTTATTGTTAAATTCTGTTTGTACTACATTTACATTGTTGTACTATAATGAAAGGGGAATGATTTGTTTACAAATTTTTTTTACAAATTTTTGCAAATTACACTGTGTATTCCCGGAAGTACATAGTGTAACTTAGTGTACTTCCGAGAGTACATGGTGTAGTTTGTAAACAAAAAATTTGTAAATATAACCCTATCCATAATGAAATATATAAATTTCTGAATTATTCACAAACTGTAGGCATGAATAAAAATGAATTGAAAAGGTAAATGTAGGTATGCATCTGTGAATATTTACTACTGTACATGTTCTTAGAAATCAGCCATGAAGTGCCTAGCACCAAAGAAGCACGACCCCTGCCCTTGGATATGTGTCCTGCTTGATGGCTGGTCAGTTTGTCCCAGGTGTAACACATTTCCTTTGAAAACATAGTGATCTGACCTGTCAAAGTTGGTCAAAATAAGAAATTTGGTGTATATAGATTGCGATATAAACCAACTTAGCCTAATTTGTATACATTTATTAGCTCATCCATATGCAACTTGCATAGATTTCATGTAAAAGGTAAACCAAAGGCGGACAATTAATTTGAACTATACTTCTCTTGCAGACTTTTCTTGTGTGGCAAATTCTCCTGTCAATTATTTTTCTTAGGAGAAAATATAAAGTCAACCAACTACTTGGATGCTTTCTTGTGACCATTGGTGTAATTATTACTGTAGCAAGGTCAGTCTATTTTAAATTTTATGGATGTTAGATTATGTTGGCTTGTTATTATTTGAGTGTCAACATAAACACTGCAATCTTTAACTAAGTGCCTTTGCAAAAGAACATGGTCTACAATGATGTTGACCATGAATCAACAAATAAATCTAAAAGCTCCTAAACATTTTGATGCAATTATTATTGACAGGAGAATTCACACAATTATTATTGACACAAATTTCGGGTCAAATTCACATAAGGATATTGTTTTTTCTTGCTTTTAACATGTGAGTTTAAGATGATGTGGGGGAAATAAGTTAAAAACTACTTAATGCTTTCAAATTTTATTGAAAGGTTTTTTGCCGAGCATCAAAGTCAAATTTTTGATGTACTATGTTAAATCTTTTAGTGATTCCATATATTATACGATGGCACCAATATAAGTGAAAAGGAAATAACACTCTTGTATTAATCACAAATTAGCGAAACAGCCCAATTTGCATTTCCATATACTCAATATAACAGTGTCAACATCAGAAAACGGACTCAAATACGAAAATTACTGACACACATCCATTAACATACTAATAAACCCAAAACAGTAGCCCCTGATGCTCCCTTTACAAGAGAAACCTTACATAAAGTTCACAATCACCCCCTCTCAATAGGAATAACAAACATGATATCCCCTCACAGTCACGCGTCCCTCCTTATAACAACAGAATCTCCTTCCCATGTCCCACTTTCTCCCACCTCCAATTCACCATTCAATGCTTGCCAGCTGCCCAATTTACTAAGTAACTCCTTTTCTCTCTCAATAACAGCTCCTCCTTCACCCTAAGCACCTCCCACTTCACTCTTTCCTTCTTCAACTTGGGCCTGAACCATCTTCCCTTCATTATGATGCTTCCTTCTGTTATAAACCTTCATTGGAGGCCTATCAATACTCCTCCCTTTTAGCATCACCTTGTCCTCAAGGTGTAAGGTAGGGAATTGTTCATGCAGCAACTCAGCATCTTCCTATGATCCCTCACACTTAGGCAAATCTTCCCACTGTACTAATACTTAAGTTTTGCCATTAATCAATTGACGAACATCCAAGACAGCTGCTGGCCAAATTTGCAACTCTAAAGAGTCAGCTAAACATTCAGGAAGGTCAAGAACAAGAACTCCAGGACTAATGGCTTTTTTGAGCTGTGATACATGGAACACTGCATGCACCTTTGAGTGACTGGGAAGTTGAAGCTCATAAGCTACCTGACCTACCCTTTTTATAATTGGAAACGGGCCATAAAATCTAAGACTCAATTTCTGGTTACGATGCCTAGATAAGTACCTCAATTTATAAGGCTGCAATTTTAAATAGACCATGTCCCCCACATTAAACTCCACCTCTCTTCTATGTTTATCCACCTGAACTTTCATTCTCTCTTGTGCCCTACTCAGGTTCCTTCTTAATTCCTGCAAAGTGATATCTCGAGCTTCCAACCACTTATCCACCGCCTCTATTGCTGTCTGATACGGTTGGTAACACGCAAGAAGGGCGGCCTTTCACATGAAGGGCATATTCTCGTAGGAATATGTCAAAAGAGTTAGTTACAAAATGAGATTATTGTTTGTATATAAGAGAGTAAGGCTGTTTTGTGAAAAAGTAGGAAATTACTGTTTCGTAAAAGACAGAGTTAAACTTAGAGTGAAGGGACAATTCCATTGAGAAGAGCTGCTGCTCTTGTACCTATTCTTTCATATCAATAAAGATTTCTTTTCACTACATTCTTTCTTCTTTCTATTCTATTGAGATATATAGTCCCACATTGGTTGTATGTGCAACTAATGTGGAGTTTATAAGGTCTTAGGCACTCCCACCCTTTGAGCTAGCTTTTGGGGTGGTGTATGCCAAGGTTCTTTACATGGTATCAGAGCCTCGCCGCCCCCCACTTTCTCTTGTGGCATTTCTTAGCACAGGTAGGCTGGGCCTGTTGCATTGTCCACTCTTCAAGCCCAATGGGCTCTCGTGTGAGGGGGCGTGTTGAGATATATAGTCCCACATTGGTTGTATGTGCAACTAATGTGAAGTTTATAAGGTCTTGGGCACTCCCACCCTTTGAGCTAACTTTTGGGGTGGTGTATCCCAAGGTTCTTTACATATTCCTCTAAGTAATTGTTGTGGAGTTTCTCTATTTTGATTTCTAGAAATCAGGGCCGTAATGCTGTCCCTCCTTTTGCAAAATGAACAATTGCAGGTGGGTCTTGTCCGTAAACTACCTTGAAAGGAGTCATCTGGGTTGAGCGATTATAGGTGGTATTAAACCAGAATTCTTTACTAAGTTTCTGTTCTTTACTAAGTGTCCGTAGATCCATTTTGCCTATCCCTTAGGATGACCATTAGCAAAAGATCTTAAATAAGTTTCGAGGATTCGATTGACCACTTAAGTCTGCCCATCCGTTTGTGGGGTGATAGGCAGTGCTGAACTTCAACTTAGTACCAGATAATTTGAATAACTCGCCCCAAAATTTGCTGACAAAAATCTGATCCCTATCAAACACAATTGAACTGGGGAATCCATGTAAACGAACAATTTCCTTAACAAAAACTGCAGCCACAATTCCAGCAATGAAAGGGTGAGTCAGAGTGACAAAATGAGCATATTTAGAGAGTCGATCAACCACAACCATAATAGTATCAACTCCCCGAGACTTGGGTAATAAAATCCATAGAAATATCTTCCCAAATTTGAGAAGGAATTGGCGGGGGATTCAATAAACTAGCATTTTGTAGGTGCTGATTTTGTTGTTGTTAACAAGTAGCACAAGCTTGCACAATTACCTGCACAGCCCTCCGCATCCCCTTCCACCAAAAAATAGATGCCAATCTCTTGTAAGTCCTCATCTCCCCTGAATAACCCCCCAAGGAGAGGCATGAAACTCTTCTAACAGAAGGGGAATTTGTTTTGAAGAGCGTGGGATGACCAAACGATCATGGAACCAAAGGCAATCCTTTTGCAACTCGATAACCAGGGTGTGATGTAGCATCCGTCATGACATTAGTCATGATTTGCTTTGTATTTGGGTCAGCTAAAATCTCATCAGCCAATGCCTCCAGATTCAGACTTGAAATCATAGTCATCTCCCTGTATTCCATCACCCTGGACAAGGCATCAACAACTTTGTTTTTAGTACCTGGCTTGTACTGAATTTCAAGATCAAACCCTAGCAATTTTGTCACCCAACGCTGCTGCCCCTCTACTAATAACCTCTGCTCCTAAGATACTTCAAGCTCCGTTGATCAGTTCTTATAATAAAATGATGCCTTAAAAGATAGTGACGTCATTCTTGTACTGCAAAAACAATAGCTTTTAACTCTCTTTCATAAACTGACAAACATTTAGGTGCCTCTGAAAAAGCTTGACTGAGGAATGTTGGGGGTCTTCCCTTTTGCATCAGCACAACCCCCATTCCTAGGCCTGAAGCGTTTGTTTCGAGGACAAATACTTCATCAAAATCAGATGTAGCCAATTCTGGTAAATTAAGCATTATTTTCTTTAATTCATCAAATGCAGATTGTGCTTCATCTTGCCACGCAAAAGCTTTCTTAAGAAGTTGAGTGAGAGGACGAGCAATATGTCCATATTGCTTCAAAAAACGACGGTAGTAACCGGTTAGTCCCTAAAAACCCCTCAGCCCTTTCAGATTTTTTGGTACTGGCCACTGTTGAATTGCCTCCACCTTCGTAGGATCTGCCTTCACCCCATTCGCAGAGATAATGTGGCCTAAATACTCCAATTCTCTTTGTCGAAAGGAGCATTTCTTCAAATTATCACATAGCTTATGTTTTCTCAGCACAACCAATACTTGAGTTAAATGATCAATATGCGTATCCAAATTCTTGCTATAGACCAGAATATCATAAAAAAAAACTAACACAAATTTACGCAAGAAGGGACAAAATACCTCATTCATCAAAGACTGAAATGTGGAAGGTGCATTGTGCAATCCAAACGGCATGACCAAGTACTCATAGTGCCCCTAATGCGTTTGAAATGCCATCTTCTCAATGTATTTTGGCCTCATCCTAATCTGGTTATAACCAGACTTTAGGTCCAGCTTCGAAAAAATCTCTTCGCCAGCCAATTCATCCAACAACTCATCAATCATAGGTAAAGGAAACTTCTCTGGCACAGTACCATGATTCAAAGCTCTGAAATCAACACAGAAACGCCAGCTGCCGTCCTTTTTCTTTACGAGAATTAATGGACTTGAGAAAAGGCTTAAGCTTGGTCGAATCCACCCCGTATCCAACATCTCACGAACAAACTTCTCTATCTCCTCCTTTTGAGAATGTGGGTACCTGCATGGCCTCAAATTGGGAATGACAACCCCTTCTTTAAGCGGAATATGATGATCACAACTTCAACTTGGTGGCAGTCCCGAAGGTTTCATGAACACATCTTTAAAATCTTCAAGTAATTTGACGATCGCTGGAGGTTGCTCCATCTCGTCCTTCTGATCCATTGACAATACTCCTAATTCAACATAGAATTTTTCCTCCCCTTTCCTCCAAGCTTTCCCCAATCCTTTGAAAGATACCTTTTCTCTTGACATAATTCAACCATCTTTCCGTTCTATGGCACTCGCAAAATCAATTTTCTGAAATTGGCTTGGATGTCTCCTAACCCCTCAAGCCATGCTACCCCAAAATGATCCCCACTGCTCGAAGATTAAATAAGAAAAAATCTTGCTGCACATTCATACCTGGTAAGTTCAACAACACCTCCTTATAGACCCCCTGTGGTTGTACTTGATGTCCGTCTCCTACTTGCACGAAATAGCTTCGATTTGTATCCGCCTTCAAATCTAAATCTCGGGCCACTTGCTCTGCAAGGAAATTATGCGAAGCCCCCGTGTCTATTAAAACCGTAACCCTCCGCTCTTGATGTCACCCCACTACTTTAAAGATCTGCTAGAAGTCAAAACCACAATGCTATGAACGCTGAGCTGGACGACTTCTCCCAAATCCTCTTCTTCAGTCACCAGTTCCCCAACTCTCAGCAACATAACACTCAAATGTTGGTTTTGACAAACATGGTCCAACGAATAAGGCGCGTCGCACCGATAACATAAGTTTCACCATCTCTTTTCGTTATATTCCTCTGGTGATAGTCGCTTGTATTCATAGTGTTTGACCCGCTAGCCCCCTCAAAATTTGGGCTATTCGAGTTACTGCCTTGTCCACCATTTTGGGTTGTAGTACACAAGCCCAACCCATGCGATCCGTTTCTTTCCTCACTTAAGGTTGTATTGGGCCTTTCCGTGTGGTTGCTGGGTCGATTATGAAGAGCTGGGCGAGTGTGCAACCCAGATACCAACCCATTTACATTTCCTGACCCATGTTTGCCTATAGTCATCCCCAACCTTCCAAGCACCCTTTCCTTCTCTTCAACTCTCTGTGCAAGTGTCATGATATGCCCCAAGTCACGCAAATTGTTCAGACGCAACTTTGCTTTAATCTCCTCTCTTAATCCATTCAGGAATGCCGCTTGCATCATCTCCTCATCAGCGTGACGAAGAGGAGCAGAAAAGAGTTCGAAACATTCGCAATACTCAGCTACCGTCCTAGCCTGTCAAAGGCACAACAGAGCCTCATATGAATTGCCTGAAGAAGATGAGTGGAATCTCTATAAAACTGCTGAACGAAAATTGTCCTAGGTGATCATTGGATTTCGAGGTTCCCACCATTGAAACCAATTAAGAGATCTTCTCTCAAGGCAAATTGAAGCGGTCTCAACTTGTTCTTCTACCGGAATCCGATTGATTTTGAAATAACGCTCTGCTCTATATATCTAACCGTACGGGTCCTCTTTGGCGAAATATGGGACTTCCACCCTTCGCATTCGTTCCTCCTCTCTGTTATTCTCATTTGTTCTTATGTGATTCTCTCCGTTGTTCGTCCCTCGCCCACTTCTTTCTAGAATAGTCTCCAAACGCTCCATGAAGTTCACCATCGTCAGATTCATTTGCTGAATGGAATTCTCCATTACCAGCAAACAACCATCAGTTCCCCCAACATGTCGCTCTATTTCTCCAAGTCTCTGCTCCAGTACTTCTACCTAGTCTCCATTCGTGATTTTACCATATAGATTACTCACAGGATCAAGCTGCTTTGATACCAAATTGATGGCACCAATATGTGAAAAGGAAATAACACTCTTGTATTAATCACAAATTAAGCGAAACAGCCCAATTTGCATTTCCATATACTTAACATAACAGTGTCAACACCAGAAAACAGAATCAACAACAACTCAGACTCAAATACGAAAATTACTGACACATATCCATTAACAGTCTAATAAACCCAAAACAGTAACCCCTGATGCTCCCTTTACAAGAGAAACCCCCCTCTCGTAAAGTTCACAATCACCCCCTCAATAAGAATAACAAACATGGTATCCCCTCACAGTCGCGCGTCCCTCCTTATAACAATAGAATCTCCTTCCCACGTCCCACTTTCTCCCACCTCCAATTCACCATTCAATGCTTGCCATCTGTCCAATTTAATGACTAACTTCTTTTCTCTCTCAATAACAGCTCCTCCTTCACCCACATCACCTGATTCACCTCCCACTTCACTCTTTCCTTCTTCAACTTGGGCCTGAACCATCTTCCATTCATTATGATGCTTCCTTCTAAACCTTCATTGGAGGCCCATCATTATATCACTTGTATATGATTTTCAAAAATTAGTTTGAAACACAGTTTAATTGAGTATTATATTGGTATAATTTCCAACTTAGGCGTATTGTAAAATATCTGAAAAATGTTGTTCCTTAAAACATAGATATAACATCTTATTACATTTGATAGGATTGATTCAACCCAGAAAAATAAGAGAATTAAAAAGAAAACAATATGACTCTTGCATTAACCATAAAACTGTGATACAAACAGAGACAAATTACAAGCAATGAAGAACTAACACATGAAAATAAAGAAAACAAGGATATTCCTGAGCAATTCGAGAGGCTCATGGGTCTCTCCCAATATCCAAAAGGATCCCAATAATTCCCAAAGATGATTCCTCTTCCAGCACCACTTTCTTTTATAACAGCCACATAGTCTTCACGTTGCCCACACTGCCTAGCCATTTTCTCCCTAACTGCCTTATTGCTGACTCAGCCCAATTGCTTTTCCTAAATTGACCTTAAGGGGTATCATATCAATACTCCCCTCTTTTATGCACCTTGTCCTCAAGGTGCGGTTTAGTCAATAAAGACCCACCTCCTTGATCCCACTGTTCTATTTCAACTACTGCCCCAAGCACATTAGGCTCAATTTTCATGCCCCAGAAACCAGAATTATAAACACCAAAATGATCAATTGGGCATATGTTTTCACCTGTACTGTATAATATCCCCAATTGAAATGCAACCTTATTATGGTCAAAGCAGGATTTACAATCAATTTAAATATTTACAGATGATTCATCTCCCATATTCGACCAAGGATCAATATTCGAAGGAGAGTTTTGGCCCCAACTTCAAATCCTCTGTTGCTTACAAACTCAGCCCACAATCCACCAGCTCTAGAATGATTGATCTCCTTCTCAATGCCAATGTAGACTCTACCTCCTACTCCTATACATGGTTCCTCCGCCTTCAACTGCATCGCCAGCACTTTGCCGATGGATGCTGCCGCCTTCATGTTACAACTTCCCCACTCGAACGAGTTCTTGATCGTGTGCGTCAATCTACTCACCACCAACCCTTTTTCCAGTCCTGTTAGTCCATATGTAGTTATGGGCTCATAAGCCCAATTTCCCCAAAGACCAGAATTTTTTTCTCTGTTTTTGGATTCATCAGCCCAACCTACACATAAAACAAAGATAAAACAGGGCTGACCTTGGGACAATTTGGCAGCACTTTGGACCTGGCCCATTAGGTTAGCAAACTGGCCCAAGTTCTGGTTTGCACTTCCTGATCTAGTGAACTGCTTGCATGTTTGTAACAGCCACGGAGACTCCTCCTTCTTGATCGATGGTTAATTTATATTTAAACTTAGGTGTACTGTAAAATATCTGAAAAATATTGTTCTTTAAAACATAGATATAACATCTTATTACATCACAAGTATATGTAGCTACTTTGTAACATAGCTGTGGTTGATACAAATTATGTAAAACTTTGTGTTTATTCTGTTTGAGACCTTCTGATTTTATACCTCTGTTTACTTCATGTAGTGGATCTGGTGCCGGGCATTCATTGAAGGAAGCTGGTGTATTTTGGAGTCTTTTAATGATAGCTTCATTTTTATTCCAAGCAGCTGATACTGTGCTGAAGGTGGTTCTCTATTTTAATGATTGTGCCATTTTCCTAGGTTTCAAACTATTTCTCTGTGATGACTAGTGGGCCTTTCAATACTTTGTAGGAAGTAATCTTCTTGGATGCAACCCGGAAACTGAAGGTGTGTACTGTAATGAATTCTTTTAATCCATATAGGGTGTATGTGTAAATAATGACTTTCAAAGGTCATAGCATAGAGCCATTTGAGACTACTGAAGTGTAGAGCCATTTGAGACTACTGAAGTGAGTGATTTCACTTCTGGTGCACTCCGTAACACATCTGCCTCAAGCTTGAATATAGAGAATGATGTTACTAAATTGAAATAAAACCTTCACAAAAATGACTGCAAGAAATTGGTTACATTTCTTAAAGTCTCGTACAAGTCACCTATACTCAAAGCCTAAAAGACTAATTTTAATTGTCAAGCTGAACAATTTGTCTTTTATCATTCAAGGTTCTAAAACGAAAACCACACTTTCGTATTGATGTTGGTAAACTCGTTCTATATAAAATTAATGCAGTTTTTCCGTTCCGGTATGTTGATATATTAATCAATATTCAATATTATCTGAAACAGGGTGGTTCTCTGGATTTGTTTGTTGTCAATTCATTCGGATCTGCTTTCCAAGTAGGTATCCTGCAATCTGTCATCAAATTCTAATGTATTTAATTACTACATAAATACAAATTGATGCCTAAATGCTTGAATACATGTTTAGTATAGGCACTATTTATATGCCTCCTCCTCCCCTTCTTATCAAAATTATGGGGCATCCCCTTCAGTCAACTACCTAGCTACCTTAAAGACGGTGCAGCCTGCTTTCTGAATGTTGGGATGCTGTCAAGTGGTAAGCTGTTTTCTCTTTCACATGTTGTAATTTCTTATACAAGGTGATAACCAAAATATCTTCTGGTAATTAAATGTATTTTCTAGCTTACTATAAAAATCATTAAGGATTATTTGTGACCTAGATCTACACTCAATCGCAAGGCAAGATTACTTTACACGTAAAATTTCATGTACGTGAAATTTCATGTACGTAAAATGACCTTTATTTGTGATCAAAAGGTGTCACTCATAAGGACAATTTTATTGCACAGCCATTACACCAACAATGCTTTATGGTATTCAATATTGGGTGTACAGTGCCAACAAGCTGTGTTGTGATGAGAATGTTGCGATGGATGAATAGACTTACAAGAATAAGATAAGATCGGGAATTAATGTATATTATGTATTAGAGGGAAAGCAGGAGTAGCTTGTGTTGAGGAAAAGATGGTTTAATCATGCCTAAAATAGTTTTGCCATGTCAGAAGAAGACAAATAGAAGCCCCAATAAAAAGAGTTGATGAAATGAAAAATAGCCTATTAGTTAGAGATAGATGGAGACCATGGGAAATTCTAATTGAAACCATTAACAAGGAATTTGATCTAAATGGCCTCTCTGAGGACTTGGTTTTTGATAGAATATAAAGGCATCATTTGATCCGTGTAGCCAACCCTAGCTAATGGGAAAAGTCATTTCTAGTTGTTGCTGGAACAACTTAAATGAAAACAATACATCAAATTAATTTTATTTTCCATTTTATTTGTGCTTCATTTTTTTTTATTTTGCTTTTCTGTTTCCAGAAGTTCCATTTTTCATTTAATTAATAAAAAGCTACCCAATGGGTGTAGCTTAGTCGGCAACACAGGCTGAGTAGGTGGGGAGAGAATCTGAGTTCAATTCCCGCCAAATATATTTTTGGGGAGGGGCCATGAGCTTTAACTGTGGTTATGCCTTGAGTCGGGATTAGTCCCATAACCAACTCAAACAGTTGAAGCTTGTGGGGATACTCGGGAGGCCGACTCACCTCAAAGAGATAATTAGGGTCGGTATACCAAAAAAAAAATATTGATAAAAAGCTTGATAGATTTTGAATGCTATTTATATGGTCTGTGATAGGATCCAAATAACAAAAATGGAAATATTTAGTAAAGAATGGAAACTACTGGTACAATATTAATCATAAAAATAGAAGGTTACATCCAAGCTTGCAAATTACAGAGAAACAACAAAGGGTGCAGAAAAGAAGAGACAAACCCAGGAGAATTATAGAGCCCCTGGACTCTTGATGCTACCCGGCAAGTGTACCGATCGCACAAGTAATATAATGATAAGAAAGTATCGTCTCCACAGGGATTGTGATCGAATATCAAATAATCGTCCTTTTAAGATGGAAGGAATTCAAATAGGTATGAGAAATATTGTTGAATTGGTTAAAGATAAGAACTAAAAATAAAAACGTATTTTTAGGGTTTTTGTGATGAAAAATAAAAATAGAGATTGATTTGTAAAAATATGAGAAAGCATTGTAGTTAGAGTACACTCACCAAATGATCCTCACTTCTTGCACTGGATTGATTTACAATACTCATTTACATAAATACTCAGATAATTTATCATCTATAAATAATTAGTTAAATTCCAATCCCTTGGCATTCTAATCCTTTAACCCCAATTGGAACCCTAATCCCTTAGCAATCCCTCATGAAATTAAGCAATGAACACGATAATTAAAACATCTGCAACCAAATATAAGTCTATTCCTAGCACGCATACAAATTGTTATCCTACTCCCTTTCAAGATCAAAACCCCAATATTCCTATCTAGGGTTCCAACCCTCAAACTACCATCAACTATTAGATTGATCAGTTCTAACAAAGAAGATAGAAATTACGCACAGAGGGTTCACATAGGGTTCACATAGGGTTTGTGACCCTAACTACAATAAAAAGTACCTAGCCAACCATGGTCATGGCTGAAATATCAATATTCAACATCAACTTGAAGAAATATAGAAATGGAAGAATACAGATGAACAAGGTCTCTCCAGAACTCTTATCTCTGGGCACGACGGTTTTCTTCTGAAAAAGAGCGATCCTTAATTCTGTGATGAGCATCCTTTTTATAGGCCATCTTTCCTTCTTTCAAGTTTGCCTTTTTAAAAACACGGTACTTTGTTCTCGCAAACTGGCGCGGGACTGCGCCATTGTGGCGCTGGTCCACGCCAGATCCTTGTCATTTGTATTGCGCAGCCGCGCGGACTTGCGCCAGTGTGGCGCTAAGCTGCGCCACTTCTCTGGAATTTTGGCCCAAGCAATCTGATGCAGTATAGATTTCCACCCTTGTGGATTCGCACCACCAAGCTTTTTACACTTCCGTATTTTCTACCCTTTCTCTCTATATGAACATAACAATTAGGTGAGAAATGTCATTGAAATAGAAAAGTCAATATAATAAGCAAATATGTATATAAAGTGCTCTTTTATGACTTAATTCTCATCATTTTCAGCTTGGAAAACTACATCTGCCAGAGGCACATCAAACCGTTCCCAGATTTAAACGTTGCTGCCCCCAGCAATGTACAAGACTCAACCAGGAAACAATCAATTAGTCCAGCATAACAATACACAGACACTCTTAGACACAATATGCTATGAATAACTGACCCAATATCATAAATTCCCAACAATGTCATCAGCTTTCTAAAGATACAAGTCTACATTGATTACCCCTCACACAGATAAATAAAGTCCACTCAACACTCGGTGTTTAAGGGTATCATGAGCACTCAATCAGTCACAGCTATAACACTACCATATGCTTGATCATATTCTAAAAAATTCTTAAAAATGAGGAACCAAACACATGCACTAGTTGATCAAAAGGACTTCAAGGTTGTAACTTGGCCGGGTTAAAAGGGTAGGAATATATGGATAGTAGGTCAAACAACAATGAGATTGAAAAACTGATACTCTTTCACTTTAGCACATTCAACTCAATGGTTTTTGCTCCACTAACATTCCCACAAAATCTCGGGAATTAATTCCTTTCAGCCACCTTTTATGCACATTCATCCTTTTTTTTTTTTTCATATTTCCTTTTTCCCGTTTTTTTTTTTTTTTTTTTTTTTTTTTTTATAAGGGTACAGATGAAATCTACATCCCCTAAATCACTTAACTTTTGTGGAACTTACCTTAATTTCTTTGTTTTATTTTCAACACATCAGTAATTCAATCTCAATCAAGGTAAGTCACATGGATATAAGCTAAGTCATCAATCAGGCCACAGGTTATTTATCAACAAAATAAGTTCAGGCTCAAGGGGCTAACAATGGAAAAATTTCATACAGGTGGGCTATTTTGGCCATAGGCTAATAAGAACAAAATGCCTTTATCATCTCAACCAATGTATGCATTACAAAGAAACAGATCAAGTTCTAGAGTGTTACAACAGTGAGGTCTCTCAACAAGAAAATTTAGTGTTTAAGCTCAAACCTCACAGCTATGGTATCAATATAGACTCAAGAAAATTAACCTCAGACATTATCAGACTTTCACAATATCAGTTCAGACAAACAAGCAATATGTAATCCAATTATACCTATGCAATGTTATGCCAGAATGTCATACAACATACTTCCTAAAATTCAATCAAGCACATTAACTGGATAAGTGCATTTAAACTTGAGAATATTTTTTATTTATTTATTTTTTTTAAATCAAGAGTAAAAGCAACAAAATAACTAACTAAAATTAAAAATTAAAAAAGTTTAGAATATCTGCCCTGATAGAAGAATTGCAGTTCCAAAGTGCTTTCCTAAAGCCTACAATTCCCAGATTTAAAGAATTGCTGTCCCCAACAATAGTTAAACCAAGATGGATGAAAAACCTGCACTATGGAACACACAACAACATATGGGATAAACTATAATGCGCACAATAAAACACCGGAGTGTTTGGGAAATATACCAACTCAAAACAGCTAAATGAGCCTAACATCAACCTATGGTCATAATAAAACAACAAAAGTACTAAAAACATAAACTAAAATAATATACAAGACATCTCCGTCAGCAAGGATTCATCACTCGTCCTCATCGTCATTATCATCCATGACCATCCTCCTAGCAGCATGGAATGATTCAGTGGCAGGACGATACAGCTGTGGATCCATAAATGGCTGTGATGGCATAGGAACATCAGCTGGTGGTGGAGCAGGATACTGCTGTTGATAGACATAAGGAGGAGGAATCTCGGGATACACAGGCTGAAATGTACTGAAGGGTACACTAGGATAAGCCTGCTCCATAAATCTATCTGTATACTCCCCTTGCATGATAAGCACATCATTCTGGATGGATATACGAGAAAGTTGCTGTTGCAGTCCATAAAAATCAAATCCAGGAGGGATGCCTTGTGGAGCAGTAGGATCAACATGAGCATCATGAGCTTCAGGAGCATCCGGCTCAGGTACAGGAGGTGGAATAGGCATACGTGGTATTCGTGGAGAAGTAGGCCTATCAATTCCAGCCTTGTTGGCTCTTTTTCTGAACTCAACCTCAGATTTAGAGCAGTAATCTATGTACGTATCCAGAGTCAGGCAGGCTTAACATCCAACTCCTCATCTTCAGAGATATACACCCCTGCCCTAGTACACAGATGATTAATAAGGGAAGCAAATCCCAGAAGCTCTTTCTTTCTACTCCCTCGCACCATGTGACAAATCCTGTCAGATAATACTGCAGCAATATTCAGTCTCTCCTCCCCAGTAAGGATATACAACAGAGAGGCCCGCTCTATATTCACATCTGACAAATTAGAAGATGGCAGGATTTTGGCATTCACAAAATTATGCCAAAAGCGGCATTCACCAGTCAGTTCTTTCATATTCAACTTTTCAGGGATGCCACCAGCTTTATTTTCCCACTTTTGAGTATGAGCTGGTAATCCCTGTCCTCACCATCTTTGTTAATTGAGGGAAGTCATCTCTGTACAGCTTGTGTCTTGAGGGCAGCATTCTG